ACATCTGACATTAGTATTTTTTAATAAGATATTATATAACTTCAGCGGTAAAAGAAGCTCGACCTGTAATCGGTGTGTGATCAGAGAGAACTACAGAGCTAGCTAGCTCCCTATTAAGTGAATTATACATACGTCAACTCGAAATTAACTCGCTCATCGTGAACCCTCGATAAGATATCAAGAAAGTTCCAAACTAGAAAGAATACTTTATATTGTTTGTAGGTTTGTGAAACTTTTGTTTATAAATCATTGTTTGTAATAACTTTTATTGTAAATTGTATTGTTGTTTATATATTAATACATATTTATATAAAACAAAAGAAACTGTGTGTATCAATCTTGTTGGCAAATATCATAAATTGGATATATATCGGCATTTATTTAAATACTAAATCCAAAGTACAAGTTAACTCAGTTTCAGACCTTTCAAAATTGTAATAAATAATGTTCACCGTCTTAAAGTTCGTATCATGAACGAACCGTCGTGTCTCTTTGTTCGTGTACACAAGCATGACTGTCTGTTTGCTCTGAACGACTTTCGGAATACAGACCTAATTCACCCCTCCCTCTTTTTTATTTCATATTTTCTAATGTTTGCTTGGATGAACTTACGGAGTTTGTTATATAGTTTGCTATATCGATGTTAATTGTGTCGTGGGAAAGACATTAAGTGAGGATTTCCCTTGTTGATTTACTGCGATACTAAGTTTAGTATTTGAATTTTTTTCAACATGATGAAAAATTCATATGTAAAAATCAAACGAACTGTTTTGTGAAAACTTCCTTTCGTCCCACACTATTTAAACCGACATATGCACACGGAAATGTACCTCATATTTATAAATTCTCGTGTTTCTAATCTATTAAACAGTTAAGTAAAAGTATTATTGTCGGGTTTTATTTTTTTCAGTTTCAGGATATAACAGCTTGACTGTAGTATTAACCTCTTACTTAATTATCAGTATATTGTTGTGTAAATTCTCGTTTACGCATTTTTCTTATTATATAGCCACATTTAATCACAAGTTTTATTTAATACTTGGAATGAGAATACGAACTTTTGTTTTTGCTATTTTTTTATATAGATCTGAGAAAGAAGTTAATTTTTCAAATAATTTTGTGAAGAAATTATTAGCGTTATTGTGACATCCCACATAAAGTAAGGATTTTAATTACGTTACACCGAAGGCGGTATGGCTGCATTGTAAAGACTAACAATAGAAAACTAGAAAGTGCACCACCTCTAAATGTAACGTAGAGAGAGAAAAAATAAAAAATATATTGCGTCGAGTCTCATCACATAAAAACAGTATTACGTTCAATTAATAACCAACTGACCATACATGTCACCAGAAATGAACTTACCAGGACTTCTTAACGTTTTTCCGCCTAATGTTTGACTATTTATCACCGAGTTGTACTAGATGAAACGTGAGGAATGGTTAAGTTCAAGAGTGTAAGTGTTTGTTTGGGAGAATATGATTATCTGGTAATGGTAATGAGCTCATAAATGAAACCGACTTGCATAGAGATGTGTTCATTGCCTAGTGAAGAAAGACGCATAGTAGACAAATCTGAATTTCACTGAGAACGAGATGAGCGCTGAGTGAAGGATCTATGCTAGAGAAAAGCGTTTTGCGTTCAAGAGGATATCATTACTTAAAATGAACAATATATATTTGACAAAACCGCGTGTTTCACTGAGCAAAGGATCATTACATAGTAACAGATACATAGCAGACGAAACTGTATTTTTATTGAGGAAAGAATCAGTAAAACATAATTAGCACACGAAACCGTATGTTTCACTGAGTAAATGATCATTACTTGGTAAATCATACATATCAGACGAACATATGTTTTATTTAAGAATGGATCATTGCTTAGTAAAGGATACATATCAGACAAAACCATATGTTTTATTTAAGAATGGATCATTGCTTAGTAAAGGATACATATCAGACAAAACCGTATGTTTTATTTAAGAATGGATCATTGCTTAGTAAAGGATACATATCAGACAAAACCATATGTTTTATTTAAGAATGGATCATTGCTTAGTTAAGGATACATAGCAGACAAAACCGTATGTTTCACTGATGTTTCAAGGATCATTGTTTAGTAAAGGATACATAATTAGAAGTGGAACATCCAACTTATCATCAATACGTTTTAAACCATATCTTGTATGTTCATGATTCGTAACAAATTAGTAGATCGTTTGTGTGTGTGTGCTTCCGTGCGTGTATTCCACTGAAACACCTGAGTATCTATCACTTGAGGCTGTCACACACACGGAACAGCATACTCGTCCAATGCGCGTGCACACATTTCCCTGCTTTTCCGTCTCGCGCAGCATGCTGAAGATGTAACAAGCTTTGGATTCCTCCCTCACACAATATATAGTAGCGTAACTTGGAATCATTCCCAGTAGTTAGCTACAAGGACTATATTCACGAAATATATTGATACACATACTTCAGAAAAGCTGTAAAATCTCTGTAATATTGTGTAAGAAGTAACCCGATTAATCATGATGCCTCTATTGCTGTTAACAATGGTAGGTTATTAAATATCGTGTTGATTTTTCTTTTTTGTGAGAGTTTGTTTTATAGTTGAAAATGTATCAATCAGCAGTCTTCAGATTTTGTGTGAAAAATCTAATTGCTGTCTTTTCATTGTATAAGTATGTGTGAATTTGTGTTTTACTACTTAAACATTTAAGTCTTCTGAGATGGGACGATTGATCACGTAAAATATACTGAAAAACCATGCCCGGTGTTTTCCTACTGTTTATTGGATAAAACGCCGATTTAAATTTTTTGTATCCGGAGTGTTTTATTGCTTAAAATCAAAAATCAGAAGCCTAAATATAATTCTTAATAAAACTGAGCCAAAAATCAAGTGAAAGCGTGGTAGTTTCAGAATCTGGCCTTTTTTTAAAGCAGCTCTTAAATAAAGTGAATAAATCTGTATTGTAGCAGTTATTCTTCCATTTTCACTTGAGGCTAATCTTTCAACAAGTATTTAAAAAGACTAGGAGTTTACCAGTTTCAAGATATTTTAATTTGTGGCTAGTCTTTCAACAAGTAGTTACCAAGACTAGGAGTTTACCAGTTTCAAGATATTTGAATTTGTGGCTAGTCTTTCAACAAGTAGTTACCAAGACTAGGAGTTCACCAGTTTCAAGATATTTGAATTTGTGGCTAGTCTTTCAACAAGTAGTTACCAAAACTAGGAGTTCACCAGTTTCAAGATATTTTAACTTGTGGCAATTCTTTCAACAAGTAGTTACTAAGACTAGGAGTTCACCAGTTTCAAGATATTTTAATTTGTGGCTAGTCTTTCAACAATTAGTTACTAAGACTAGTTTTTCACCAACTTCAGGACATTTTAACTGTGTAGTCACAAGTGGTGTAGGAAGGAGTTACAAAGTACGGGTGCTTAGCTAGATATGCAGGTTTTTACAATGAGAGATTGGAAGTATAAAGCTAATAAAAGCAGCTCCCGTGGTGCCGAAGGCAGCTAAATCTAGGATGGTCTGGGGGCATGCCTTCCAGAAAATTAATATAATAATATAATTTTTAGTTGCTACAGGGGTGTTACAGCATTCCAGGTTCCGAAACCTCTGGTTACTAAGACTAGTTTTTTACCAGCTTTATAACATTTTAATGTGTAGTTACTAAGGCTAGTTTTTCATAAGCTTAATGACATTTTAATGTGTAGTTACTAAGACTAGTTTTTCATCAGCTTCAGGACGTTTTAACAAGTAACTATTAAGACTAGGTTTTTCACCAGCTTCAGGACGTTTTAACGTGTTTTTCATAAGCTTCAAAGTGCATCTAATTATGGCTGCCACCTTTCTTAACTAATTGTGCTTTGAGATACCTAATTATCATAGAATATTCACTAATTTCCTCTAAGCCTCATTTCAACTTAAACAAATCTGCTAATTTTAGTTTTCGTCGCTTCTGTTGAGCATAAACGAAGAGGTTCACTTGTTTCAAATTTACTATGTGTTGAGCATGAATTCTGAGAAAACGTGTGTATGGGAGGCTAAAAATGAATATTAACATTTATACTTAAGTAAACGTTTTGTAAAAAACTAGTATAAATGAAAGTTTGAAAAATAAACTTTACGTTAAAAGCCATTTTATCAGTGCGAAACTCTAATAAAATTTTGTTAAAAAAGGATGACAATTGTTTAGCAGATTATCTTAACCCTGTAACATCTTTAAATTTCAACAAAAAATTCTGCATACTGACACAGAGTATACAAAAAATAAAACATTTCACCTTCATCAATTACAAAATGATCGCTTTGATAGTTTCAAAATTGTGAGCTGTAATTATATTATTGTCAACGATAAACATAATTAGACTGATCTATGTAGCACTTTATTTTCACGATTACGGCTTTGGTGAAGAACCTTATTTCACATAAAGAGTATTTGTTTTCTAGATCAAAGCTATATCGGGCTATCTGCTGTGTCCACCGCGGATAATCGAACTCTGAATTTTACCGTTGTAAGTTCACATGCTTACCACTGTTCTACCGGGAGACTTTAATGAGCAAACTCCGGCATAGTGCTATAGAGAATACCACTCCTTTTCAGCTTATATACGGACGTTTTCGTAGCAGTACGTTTCAGGCTCTCATGTCTTCCTGACGTAGCTGGCTAAGGTTTTTAATATCCACTCCAGTCATTACTTGCAATAGTCTGCATTGTTTCTATGGGAGTAATTATGATCAACATTTATATGAGGCTCTTTCTCATCAGAACTTTTTTCTCTATCTGAAATTCATGGGTTTGCTGGGATAATGTTATTTTGTCATCTTCTTACATTAAATCTCTCAGACATTCTGTAAAAATAAATAGCGAACATTTTGATTTATTTTTTCTAAATTACCTCAGATCAGTATGGTTAAATAAGCTTATGATTTTTTTTGCAAGAATGTCAGCCTAATACTGCTATACAGACAATTTGATTGGTTATATATTGCTCTACTTTAATGCATGTTATTCAATGGGGCATATTTCACAACTTCTGAATAGTTTGTATTCTGTTGGCCTCAGTGTAAGGTCAGGTTGCCTATGATCAGACAGTATGTTCATATGGTGATATAATGTCAGGCATCTTGCTAACACTAAACGTGTCACTGTAACCAAACTGATGCTTTCCAAATACCGCGTTTATGAAACGCCTTAATTCATAAAATGTGCTTCTAATTATACAAAATTCAATGTCAGCCAATTTTCATGATAAATTCATAACAAAACCGACCTTCAGAATGTATGTAACTTGAACACTGCTCAGACTGAGATTGTAGTTTCAAATTTGTTTTCAATAGAAGCCGTTAAATGTCAGCAGTTGTCCAGCTCAGAAAGGAGCTATATTCAAGTGGTAACAATGCGGTTATAGCCTTTGTGACTAGAGTAAACTGGAAATGCAATAGTAGTTAATTAGAATCTGGCAAGCTTTCTCTGTAAGTTAAATTTTGTTATATCAAACTTTCAGAATTGCACATCATATAATTTAACCCACAAAGAGGCTAAACGCAGCGAGGAAACCTTATGTTCATTACTAAACGCTTTAGAATTATTTTCTATGATAGTAGTCGTAATTAAGCTTGTATAATAATATTTAGTGCATCTTAACAAATGATGCTTCAAGGGACGTCTGTAGTTACAGGAATATAATCACAAAAAATAAAATAAAATCAAAAGATTAAGAAATGTAACTACACAAACTGCAATGTTATGACTTTTCATCTGAAACTACATAGATTTAAATAATTGCATGAACATTTTGGTTTTAACACTAAGTTGAAAACGTCAAGTTATAGAATTCAAGAGTCCTACATGTGAGTCCTACAGTATATTAAAATTAGATATTGCTTAACGTATTAGTTTTAAAATATATTTATGGATTATTTAAAAGGAAATACAAATTTTTTCTTTCTTATAAACTCTTATCATTTCAAACTTTTTAACATGCTAATTTCGAATAAGTTCTTACAAGTCCTCTCATAAACAAAATCATATTTAAACATTTGTCGGTCGAAATGTTTGGCAATCGATAATTGGTAAAACCTTAGACTTGGCAAGGCCCTGACTATAAGAACAACAAGAAGAAAGAACTGGATATATATATGACTAACGCGGACAACCTGAAGATTTATTAATGTAATTGATGATAAGGTTAAACTTTAGTACATTATAAATAAAGAATATAATACACTCAGGTTTTATTTTTAATGACGTAGACAATTAGAAAAACTTCTCGCCATTACTATTGTCGGAGAAAGCTAATAGTAACAACCGAAGGACATAAACAAATGATGATTGAATAGAAATATTAAGAAGGGATCTTTGGATAAATATGATTCAACATGCTGATCTTGCTATCTTTTTATTTAATTCACCAAGTGGAAACAGGGTTTAAATTGAAATCAGAAGTACCATCACAACAATTGTAAAATTTAATCAAAATCTTTGGAGCATATAAATTTCACCATCAGCGGTTTGTAAATATACATATATTGAAGATAATGTTAAAACATGCACAAGCTAAGTGTTTGGATTCAAGTTGAAAGTGTATGAAGTAAATCAAAATTAAAAATAAACATAGAAAAATTTGTTTCTTTGTATTCAGCACAAAGCTACACAATGGGATATCCATGTTTTGCTCACCGCGGGTATCGAAACCCAATTTTTACGTTATATGCCCTCAGACTTACACTAGGAAGGTGAAGGGACAAAATGTACTGAAACAATATATATTTATAAGATTTTTTATGGAATAAAGGAAGTTGTTTTTATATGAGTAAAAAATAAAGACAGTTGAAAGGAATTACTTGGTATTAGTAAACTTTCTTTGATGAGAAATTCGTGGCTGGATGAACTTGAAATTGTCAACAGAAACGGAGTGATTGGTTTTCACTGTAGATATGTAAAGGAGAAACCCAAAATATAAATTTCTGACCTCTTAAGTTCAGTATTTGTTTCATTCAATGTTTTGATGTGCTTAATACGTTTACAATTTCCATGAACAAAATATACTGTATATATATATATTTCGGCTATGATATTTTATGTAAATATTTTTACAGATTACTGACGATAGTATTCTTAGCTTCAGAATCACGTTATTAAACATATTTACAAATGTAAGTTTGAAGCTAAGTGCAAAGTTTCATAATTGGCTATCTGCTCAGGGTTCGATCTTCGAATTTTTTTCGTTATAAGATCAAGTTTGGAGACGGTTTGAATGGGTAGTGCAAGAAACTTTATTACAAATCTACAACATTTCGACAAGCTTATGTCATCATCAGGCACAAGTTGCTTCCTCATCATCAAAGGTATCGTTATATATCTCAGAAGCTTATAACTGAGCCAGGGGGAGGCGGATATTACAAATATTAATATCTATATTTAATCATATGTTTCAAAAAATTTCTTATAATTTTGCTTTTTAACTGGTATTATAAATTAAATCTTATGCTTTTGTGATTACAGTTAGAGAAAAATACATATGATTTTATCCTACACGGCTATT